AAACACACACACACACACACACACACACACACACACACACACACACACACACACACACACACACACCTTTTGTCAACCTGACAAAAATCTAAAAATTTGCTATTTAATGTATTATTTTGATCCCACAAGAATGATTTCAGTTCAGTCTTCCACGTTAGAATCTGATCTAAATATGATTTAATATATTATGCATTATAATGGAGAACAACTTCAAATTAATACATCTTTTTTAAATGTAGCCCTTTCACAACATTGTTTTATTATTTTCTATTCAATGTTCTGTATTGCACTTAAAAGTTAATGTAACATTTTCTTGGATTTGTTTACAGCAACTGTAATGCTTTCATGACAATGACTACAATGCTAAAGTGCTGCAAATATTTTTAATGTCAATTCACTCTGAAATTTCCCAGCATTTTCAAGCCTGCTGAAAAAAGCCACCAACTTCTTTGGAAGTAGATCCTAAAGGGTGCCTCTGGACTGACTGATTGCATTCTTCCGCCAATTTATTCGTTTGTAAAATATAAGAGTGGGTGAAAATTAAAAACAGGATCTTGGTTGGAAAATGTCGTAATGGCTTAAGATCAAAATGAAGATCAAAGGCTGGATCATAGTTGAAGCTCAATGATGCCATCATGAGGTGTGCATGATGTTCTGAGCAAGACATGTGCATGCTCCTAATCAGATATCCCTGATGTCATCTTAACAGTCCAATGCCTCTATGAGCTTTGCTTTGTTTCTGAGGATTGCTATGAAATGTGATGATCAAAAAGCACCAGAGTAATCCATTGATTTCTTCCTTCGGCCTGTTGATTAAATTCATTTGCAACATGTGTGCATGCGCCAATATTATATTCAGATGGTATGATAACCTTGAGCAAATATCTTGCAGTATCACGGTAACAGCTCCAAAATAGTTTTTTTTCAAACAAAATAGAGAATATGTTTTACATTAAATGAGGAAGTAAACTCAAAAATTCTCCTCCCTATAAATTGCTCTTTCCTCTCTGGAGAAAGAAAGGATCTGTTTATGTTTATGATCCAAAACACAAGCTCATCTGAGAAGCATGGTGGAGGTAATGTCATGTCTTGGGCTTGCGTGGCTGCTTCTGGAACAGGCTTTTATTGATGATCTAATTCATGATAGGAGCAGCAGAATGAATTCGGTCGTCTACAAAACCATTTTGTCTGGCAATTTACAGAAAAATGCATCCCATTTGATCAGGAGAATTTCCATCATGCAACAAGACAATGATCCAAAACACATTGCCTACACAACAAAGGACTTAATCAGGGGAAGAGTGGAGTGTCTCAGACTGGCTAAGTCAATTATTGGGACCTTAACCCAATAGAGTATGCATTTCACCTGCTGCAGAGGACACTTGTTTCAATGCCCAGCTTGCCCCACCATACAAAAATACAATACTCCACATTCAAGATTTCACCAATTGTTTCTTTAGTTTTCAAACCAATCTCTTTGCCTTCCCAAATCCAATTAGCTGATTTGTGGCCTCTCATGCAATTGCTAATCTCGCGCAAATCTCTAGTGTACAGTCTGCATTCATTCCAACCATAGAGCCAAGTTATTTGAAACGGTCTACTTAGCCGATTCTATTTCTGCCCAGGAACGCCTGTTCTTTGCCTCCATACACCAATGCAAAGTTTTGGCGTAGGTAACGTATACACCAAAATTGTGTCTGTATTCCTCTAGAGCAGGGGTCGGCAACCCAAAATGTTGAAAGAGCCATATTGGACCAAAATAAACAAAAAGCAAATATGTCTGGAGCCGCAAAAAATAAAAAGCCTTATTATGAAGGCAACACATGCTGTATGTATCCATATGATCTATATTAGCCTGCTATCAACATGACTAAATTGGCTACAAATACACAACGAGCATTCATGAGTAATAGTTTTTTTCCCCCCTGGAGTTAATCCTGTAGAGGAGGGGTGTCCAAACCTTTGTGACGGAAGATCTACTTTTCGAACAACCAACCTCCCGCGATCGACCCGTTACCGCACACGCGCGCATACGCACACACTTAAAACACGCATGCCTTAATGAGCAATAGCCATAATGGCCGCTAAGATGAACGAGGCACAGGACGCACTTTCGCAGCGTGCTATTGTAGCTCACGTGTACCGTTTAAAAATGCTTCTTCTCGGCCGCCCAGATTCCTATTCTTTGCAGGTACCCTCGATGAAATGAACAAGAAAGGCTGTTTTTTTTTTTTTTTTTTTTTTTTTTAAAAAACAACAGCCCCCTGACTGACATCCCGCCCTGTGAATAGAAACGTGTGTCGCAGGCTATGACGCAAATATCACTTGACGAAATGTTGACATTTAATATTTATTTGACACATTTTTACAGCATCGGAAAACATGGTTTGTGTCATGTTTGTCCTCTGACAGAAACCATATTAAAACAAAAAAATATATTTCCCTCCCATCTTTTTCCATTTTTAAACATTTTTGGAAAAAGCTCTAAGGAGCCAGTGGGGGGCGCTAAAGAGCCGCATGCGGCTCGAGAGCCGCATGTTGCCGACCCCCGCTCTAGAGCAACTTTTTTTGAAGCTGAGAGCTACTTCTTGGCTACTGATTTAGTGTGAAGGGATACTAGTTTTATTCATACCAACATAATAACACATTGTCTCCAATTAGCAAGGTGACAAGGAGCCGCCATATTGATGGCATTTTTGAAAAAAAATGAATGTAATTTTCTATATTGTCTAAAACCTAGCAGATAATCAAAGAACTTCTCAGAGTAGCAGACAAAATGAAAGGATTGATTGTAGCTGCGGACATCCGTATAACAACGTCAAAGTTGAAATTTAGCCTATATAGGTGCTGACATTGAGTTCAGTTTCAGTTTGTTCCTTGGAACCTCCAGCAACAGTTAATATCCAAAATGTCATGTAACACTGAGTTTT